ATGTATGTATGTATGTATGTATGTATGTATGTATGTATGTATGTATGTATGGATGGAAGGATGAATGGATGGATGGATGGATGGATGGATGGATGGATGGATGGATGGATGGATGGATGGATGGATGGATGGATGGATGGATGGCGCCGCACCGCCCAGGTGAAACGAAGCTGTTTTGACCATTAAATAAACGTATAATAAACGCGACGAGTCAGCGGTGATGCATAATAGATGCGACTTACACGCCAAATCGACTTATATATGTTTTTTCCTCTTCATGATGTTTTATTGACTGATGTGACTTATACGCTGGAAAATACGGTATAAACTCTATTTGTTCAAACTGAGATTGTTCAAAGCACTTTCTATAACAGCTATAAGGACCTTTACAAGATATCCTTCCTGCCTACAACCATCAGTATCTATAACATCTCTTAATGAAATGAGTATAACAAGCTACAACAACAAATAATTTCCCTTTGGGATTAATAAAGTATTTTTGAATTGAATTGAATTGAATTGAATAAGATATTAATTATTTAGAACCTCTAGAACCCAGGATCCACTTCAAACCAAAACACAGAATCAAAAAGCAGAAGGCTGAGCCTGTGTATGACCTCCTTCATATTTCTTACACCTGACACAATTTTTACTCTGAAAACGTCCATAGTGTTGCTTTCCTCACTGTATATCTACCTTCAAACCTTCCAGAATAAAAATAATAATAATAAAAATCGGTTTTGCAGTTGGTTCCGTCAACCAAAATACAAATAAAAGCAGAAAAGGAGGAATACTTGGTGTGTCTAAAATAATATAAACCCAGATCTGTCTGCAGGTGTGCAAATGTGTTCGAGAAACTGACATGCTTTGAAAAGGCGCTCAAAATAATGCTGCGTTCACTGAGGGTGCTGTGACAGGGTGGATTATGTAACAAAAGTTGATCATTTAAATCCTATTACACCTACCTGCTTTCACTTCAGGGCATGTTGCTGAAGCACAAAGTCACAGGAGAACAAATCGACGTCTAAATCCCTCTATCACCACTGAATGCACTGTCTCATTGTGTTATCTTTTATATTTTTAACCCCTAACAAAGTCAGAAAGCTCTTGCAGCTGTGCTGCGTTGTGTTCAGGGGTTACTGGGGCAGCGCCCTGCCATCACTGGGATATGTTTGGCTCACATGTAGGAAAGCAGTAAGATTATGTAAGTGTTTATGTAATCTGCGTCAGCGAGCATGAGTGACACCCGGATCTGTTGCCATCTGAGCGTCTGCCTGCCAGGAGGCTGCAGTGATACTGTACAGAAACGTGTCTTCCAGCAACGCTGCTGTCTTTACACCAAGGAATTCTAGGAACACAGAAGAAAAATGTGCAATCAAACATTTTCTAACTGTTTCTTTACAAAAGCATGAAGATTTGTTAGAAATATAGATATGACATTATTCATCGCCTTTCATGCCATAGTTTTAGACTAAATCATTGAGTTGATGACTGATGGAGCTGTTTTAGTCAAACTTTGTGAATGATGTCATGCACAATTGGTCAGAGTATGTGTTGTGAAAAGCTCTCACTTACTATCACAACAAATTGTAGCTCTATTTCTGTCATTTCGGCTGAGTTGTCGCCATGTTTGTGTTTCCCAAGGTTAATTGGCTGTGGCTGCCAACTTGAATTGGGTTTAATTCAAAAACCAATGACTTGTAGACGTATAGTCAGTAATTACTTTCTGAGAGTTTTATTAAAATTCATCAAGTGGTTTGTGAGATATTTTGCTAACAGACAAACATGGTTGCCATTATTTAATGGTGAAGTTTTAAGTTAAATTTCTGAGCAGTCATTAGCACTTGAAGTACACTATTTGTTGTGAATGACTCTCAGCTACAACCACACAAAAAATATCCTAATATCTTTGACAAATGACTGAGGAGTAGCTGTTTTTGAGTTTTTAAAGGTCAGTTTGTTTAGGTAGCCATCTTGAGCTGCAGTAGCTCAAAGAGTCGAACACTTGTAGACAAAATTCAGCGGATAATTTCCAAGAAGTTTCATTCATATGCACCTAGCGGTTGATGAAATATTTTGCTAACAGACAGTTAGGGTTGACGCTATATAGTTATGGACAAAATTGTTAAACAAAGATTTTGTACAGTTTGTTAGCCCTTGGAATATATGATGAGAATCACTCTCAGTTACAACTGCACATCATCACTGCACATTTTCTACAATACTGACTGAATTATGGCTAATTTCGTGTTTTATAGTCAGTTGGTTGTGGTGGCCATTTTGAATTGAGTTGAGTGCAAAAGTTAACCAGATGTATATTTAATGATTCCTTTCCACGAGTTTCATTAAAATGTGTCCAGTGGTTCATGATATAAAAGAGTCAAAAACATTTTCATGTGTCACACATTTCAGTGGAGGGAGAAGATGATTCTGATGGAAACGACAACAAGATGGTCCTGTAGACACCGAACACTCTGTTTACAGATCAGGTTACTCAGATCAGCCTTCTTTTGTTACCTGAGTCTACTTTAGACCTTTAAGCACCTAAAAGCTGTTTACGAAGATCTGACCTAATCCAGACTTCATGAATTATATGATGAGTAATAACAGGTCTTCTGTAAAGATGGTGGAAACATGACGTCATCGTCTGCTCACTGTCCCACAGGTGTCCCAACCTCCTCTCTCTGACGCTGTCCGGCTGCGCGCACATCACCGACCGGGAAGTGACCTCGGTGCTGCAGAGCTGCAGGAGGCTGCGCAGCCTCCACCTGGAGAACTGCGTCCGCATCACAGACCGCAGCCTGCGGGGCGTGGCGGCGCACGGAGGCAGTCTGGAGGAGGTGAGGGTGGATTTCTGCAGGAACATCACTCAGGCGGGGCTGCGGAGGTGTAAGGAGATGAGACCGCTCCTCAGGCTGAGCGCAGAGAGGAGCGCTGAGATGATCCCAGACAGCAGACCTGAGGAGCAGGTTCCTCTGAGGAGGTCGCTGCAGAAGGTCCTGCAGGCGTCCTGATGGCCACAACAAGCATCAGGACTTAACATTGTATTACACTTTTGTATTTTATTTGCTTTTTTAAATCAACTTTTTATACCATATTTATTGAATGAAATGAATTTCTCTTACACACACACTGAGCTTCCATAAAAGTCTTAACTACACGTGTGGCCTTTTCAGTGATTCCCAAACACTGATGCTGTTTTTTTACTTTGGACGTTTAACTGATTCCTTACTTACTTTCCTAAAGATCAAACTGTTACACTTGTTTGACTAAACCACGAGCAGCTAGTTTGTTTAGCCAAGACAAAAATGCAAAGGTTTAGCATTCCTTGAAGAAATACACGTTGTCCACGTGTCTCATGACACAGTTTGAAACCAGTATCCACAAAACACACTGAGTAAGAGGTGTTTTTGTGTTGCTATGATCGACTAGCTGTGGGCGCCATCTTGGATCACAATGTAGATATTTCGCCTGTGATTACCTTCAGATATTATTGCTGAAACAAGGGTTCAGGAGATATTTTGCTAACAAGCAGACAAATAAAAGCACAACACAAACCCACCTCATCGCCAGCTTTTTATGGTGGTGAGCGATAAGTAACAGTTCATTTCAGTTCATCTCTATTCAAAGGCGGAAAAAAAAACATATTCAAGTGACAAACACTTTTTATTGCCTTTGTCTTCTTGAGTGTTGGCACAATAAAGTTTTCAGTTTTTTTGGTAATCTGTGTCAGACTTTTTATTGGAAAATAGACTTCGGCTTGCAGCCAATATAAAAATAGACTGATCAGAAGTGGGACAGGTGGCACAGTGGTGCAGTTGGTAGAGCTGCACCTGAACAGGTCCTTGGTTCAAACCCCGGTCCAGGGGCCTTTCTGGGTGGAGTTTGCATGTTCTCTCTGTGCATGTGTTGGTTTTCTCCTGGTACTCCAGTTTCCTCCCATAGACCAAAAACATGCATGTTAGGCTGATTAATAACTCTGAATTGTCTCTAGGTGTGAGTGAGAGAGTGAATGGTTGTTTGTCTCGTTTGGTTCTATGTTTAGTCAGTTTATTCACACATACAAAAATAATCACAATACATAATCGCAAGTTAACAGTGCATGAATCAGGTCTCCAAAAAGCTATTTAAAGCTTATAGACAGAGACTGGGTACATATAATTACATACAATTTATAACAATATAAATATAACCATCCCTGTGATGGACTGGAGACCTGTCCAGGGTGTCCCCCGCCTCTTGCACAGTGATGGCAGGACATGAGCACCAGTGACTCCCTCGACCCGAAAAGGAAGAAGTGGGTAAAGATGATGGATGGATGGATGGAAGTGGGACAAATAGTACTCGAAAAAATTTTTGTAGAAGAAAAACACCAACCAAAAGCCTCACACGCTACATCATCTGAGCAGTAAAATGTTTCATTGGGTCTAAATTAAGTCACTTGCCTCATTTTTCTGAAAATAAAACAATAAAATCCTTATTGTTTATATCTTAATGTTGTCTCAAAGGCTGAAACAGCATGTGGTTTGAGACGGGACTGCTTTATGAAAGTCTTTTATAAATGTGTACTCTGTACACAAGGAAAAGAAAGTTATAAAGCAGCGTTTCTATCAAAGCTCTGCCTTTTGATAATATGAATACATTTTATTAAATAAAAACACTTCAGATGTTAAGAAGAGAGGAAAAAAACTGTTTCGTCCAAATAAACCTTGACTATTTTAAACATAAACTATGACATATGCGTTTTAGAAGTTAGAATTGTTTTTCATTTGAATGAAATGATGCATTTTCACAACTTTATCATCATCTACTAACTAAATGTATCAAATGTTACAAGTAATCAGCTGTGTCAAGTTTTGTCAGGTTTCTTTAACTGTGCGATTCCCCACTTGAAAGAGATAGTCTCTACAATGAAGCTTTTAACTGGATTTCACTCAGACTCTTCAATTTAGTTGATCCATCTTTATTTTTTTTTTCATGATGGTCCCAGAGCTTTAGCCTTTCAGCCATATAGGTGAAAAACCTCAAAAACACAGAAACACATCTATTACATTCTGAAATTAACAAGATAAATACATTGTGAATAATCATATTTCCACCCTTTTAAACCAGTTATTCCAAATTATAATAAATAGCAAATATTTTATAGTGAAAGTCAACACAATAAATAAATTAGCATATTTTCAATATTTCTTAAATATATTTTCATAGTCATACATTTTGAACATTTTTTTTTTCTTTTTCTACTTTAACCAATAAACACCAAGTGTATTTTATTTTATATATATATTTTTTTAACTTACTAGCTTGACTTCAATAAGATTAAAACAGTAACATCAATCAGAGTCCATTTGCTGCTTCAATGAGATGCATTAAAGGAACAACATCATTATGAGGCTTACCGGCTGTCCTTCACAGTTTGTAGTAGACTTTTCACAGTTCTGACTATACATGCTACCAGCACTGCTTGGTTCAAACAAGAATGACAGGTCAGTCACATCAAAAGTACCTGCACTCTGATTGCTTAGAGATTGAGTCCACCTGGTCCTCCTCATTAACAGGCAGAGAAGAGCTGCAGAAAGGTGCAGCAAAGGGGACTGGCAAAGGGGAGTGGTTACCTGGCAGTTCACCAGAACAAGCTGACTGAGAGGGAGAACATCACCACTGACTGAAAACTGCTGAGTAAAGACGATTTATTTTACAACCGTCTCAGCCGTCTCTTCAACATGAGAACATCAGTTATTTGGTGTTTGATCATTTTATTAAAATACTAAACACAACTTCAGTGGAATTATTCAAATTATAATACGGTCCTATTATTAAATCCATCAATCTTTAACTTGGAATAGAGCAACATGTTCTGCTCTAAACCATTAAAGTGCTGCTTTCCATCAGTGAACGCTTCAAACTAACCAGAGTAATAGAACTCTGCTCTGAATGGACAGCTCACTGGTTAGTGTTGAGAAAATTGTCCGACTAGCTGAGTGCTTCCCAGAATAAACAAATTAAGAGGTTCCACAAGGAGAAACATCTGGACGCGTGCAGTATTCAAACACAACAGGACCGAGTGTTCGACGTGCAACAGCATGACCCCGTTGAGGGTCACCCAGCTCCGTTTTTGTGTGGTTTCAAAAGATGCTGGTCTTGGAAGAGCAGCTGTCCGGGTGCAAGTCCTGCTCTGCAAGACTCAGAGAGGTACCTGTGGTTGGTAAATGTGTTTTAAATCCACAACTGAGAAACTCCTTCTGTTCTGTTCTGTTTCCACTGTGGAGGAAAAAGAGAGAATTTCACACTCCTACTTGTAGGAACACAATCAACTGAAAATTATTGTTAATTTTATGCATTTTCAGCCTGAATATTGCAGCAAAGGTTCGCTATAAACTCGGTTATGATGAAATATTTAGTTTTTGCAGCAGATTAATAAAAACTGACAGATGATTAAGAAGAAAATATACAGAGGAGTGCATCAGCTGAAACGAGAACAAACATTTTTAGGGTTTTTTCTCTTTTTTGGACACTGAAAATATAAATTTTAGGTAATCTTTTAGCTTTAAAATTTGTTTTATATTCTACCTAAATGGTTATAATGCTTTTTAAAAACTACACCATTAAAATAAAAAAAAGCTATAAACAATATAAAAAGTTAAAAATAAAAAAAAACTGTCGAACAATCTGCTGTTGAGGTCATTCTCCCACATCAAATTGTAATTTGCTATGTGTAAATATTACTGAGCCGTTTCATGTGGGTTAAACTCAGCTTGCTGGGGCAGCCATCTTAAACTGAAATGACGGGGGAAAAAAAATAACCAGGAACAAATGACTTTAGAAAGTTTCATCAAAACAGACGTGCAATTTTTCCTCTGCCTTTCACAATAAATAAAATTTAATTGCAACATAAAGAAAAGTCTCGGTTTAATTTCCTAATGTAGGTTAAAACAAACAAAATCAAGTGTTTGTGTGGAGTAGATTCACCTCATGTTACACTCACACTGCAGATATTTGAATTTAACAACAGCAGGAATTCATCTCTGGTAATTCTGATGGAAAAATCATGTAAAATGCTAATTGCCAAGAACTGATTAAATTTCCTTCCCTGGCTCTACTGGAATAAGAAGTTTCATTTAAAAACATTTCTGCTGCCTCTAATCATTTTAATTAGCTGCGCTGCTCTGGCCAAGCAGGATCCTGTGGAGAGATGATGGTGATGATGACTGGTTTTCAGTGAAGGAAACCAGTTGTGCTTGTATGCAAATCAAAACAGCTCATTTTTAATCATTTATCATATTTTATGCAGAAGTGTCAGGAGCGTTTGAAATTCAACAGTGGAATAATAACATGTTTAACCTCCAGGGGGGTTCTAAACACGTTCCACTCTGCTCCAATTTTGTTTGGATCAAAGTGAAATAAAAGTCCTGTCTACACATTTTGGTTTAACAACAAATGTTTTTCATAATCCTCATTGAAGAGTCTCACTTAAAGCTTAACACATTTTAAATGATAATTTTAACACTAAATCAACATTTTCAAGCAGTGGATATTTAAGCCTCTTTTTACAGGTGCTCAAGCACCCATCCATCCATCCATTATCTCTACCAGTTGCGCCACCGTGCTGCTGTGCTCAAGCCACCCTTAAATTTTAACTCTGCATCCCTAAAAAAATAAAAGAAACCATTATTGGGATTTTGTAAGGAAAGTCAGTTTTCAAACCTTCGATTCACTCAAATATGGAATAAATTTGGAATAAATAGGAAATAAATGATGACACTCTTAAATGGACCCATCAATCAATCCAGTATGCTTATCAGCAACTGACCTCAATTTGTCTGGAAGGTAAACGCCCCTTACCTGCAGGAGCTGCACCTCCTTTTCCTCCAACAACAATGTTGGGGTTTTGCATTACGAACAGTTTGCGATCAGAGGGATTTTGTGAAAAATCATCAGAAAAAAATGGTTAGACATCAGTGGGGAACAAGTACTTCAACATGTTACCCTGAGTGTTGGGTGGAATACAATTTATTCCATCTCACAAACTAATTGGATTCTGGAAAAATGTGAAAAGATGATAAAAGCTGGCGGCCGACCCCATGAGCAGCTGAATACAACAGTT